TATTAACACAGAAATTAAACCAAGCACAGGACCAACAACAAAAATAGAGATGAAAAGACATTCAAGCAAGACACAAGCACAAACACAGGCTGCCAGTTCACCAGAGGCAAACTCTGGGGGAAATGAGGTGGAAAAGTCTGATAATCAACCACCTGGACACGTTGAACTGATAACACAGGAAGTAACAAAACAGATGAATGAGGCTCTAGAAAAGTTCAAAACAGAAACAGATTTTTAAAAAATACATGAGTTCAGGACTGTGATAAAAGCCATGAATGCCCAGCAGAGGAAAAAAATACAAACCATGAATGCCAACCATAGGAAAGAAATGGAATCCATAAAACAGATCCAAACAGATATCCAGGAGATTAAAAACTCTATTGAAAGTATACATAACAGGGCCGAGGATTTAGCTCAGAGGTTCAGTGGCCTGCCTTGCAAGCACAAGGACCTGAGTTCAATCCCAGTACCAAAAAAAAAAAAAAGGAGAAAATATACATAACAGACTGAACCAGTCAGAAGACAGGATATCAGATACAGAAAACAGGATGGTGGTCAGTGACCATGAAAAGAGGGATCTCTTAAAAAAGTAAGGGAACATGAGAAATCAATCCAAAAGCTCCTACATGACACAAAGAAGAAATGTATGAGACTGAGAGAAGTCTGTGAAAAAACAAGAGAAAGTACAAATGGCATAAGAAAAACTTTTCATATAATTAATGATAGAAAACTTCCCAAACAGAGTAAAAGAATTTGACATACAGATAAGTGAGGCATATAGGACTCCAACTAGCCATGATAAAAAATCTATACCTAGACATATAATAATCAAGATCCTGAAAACCCAACAGAAAAACAAAATACTATAAGCAGTTAGAGAAAAGAAACAAATCACATGCAAATGAAAGCCCATCAGAATTACAGCAGACTTTTCAACACAAACCCTCAAGTCAAGGAGAGCCCGGAGTGAGGTATTTCAAGCCCTAAAAGAAAGTAACCTCCAACCTACACAGATGTGTCCTGCAAAAATATCTTTCAAGTTGATGGGGAAATAAGATACTTCCATGACAAAGAACACCTGAGAAACTTCATGACTACCAAACCATCTTTTCAGACAATTCTAATAATATCCTAGAAAAAGACAATAAATATCACAACTCCATGAGGCCCAACAGAGTAAATCTACAACAGGGAAGGCAAGAAAATAAGGGACGGGGGGGGCATTAAAGGAAAATAATATGATGGTGATAAGTCAATACATATCAGTTATAACTATCAATGCTAATGGTCTCAATTCACAAATCAAAAGAAATAGGCTAGCAGAATAGATTAAGAAGCAAAATCCAACAATATGCTGTATACAAGAAACACACCTAGTTCAAAAAGAAACTCACAGACTGAAAGTAAAAGGATGGAAAACAGTTCTCCATGTGACAGGAACCCAGAAGAAAGCAGGGGTAGCTATCTCATTTGCAGACAAAGTGAATTTCAACCAAAACTAATTAAGAGAGACAAAGGTCACTACATCCTTGTAAAGGGAGTAATCCAAGAGGAAGAGATGACAATCATAAATATATATGTACCACATACCAATGCCCCCAAAATACAAAACAAACAATAAGGGCCATGAAAAAACAAATAAGCACTAATACAATTGTAGTGGAGAACACCACTGTCACAACTGGGCAGATCATCAAGACAAAAAAATCAACAAATCAATAATGAAATACTAGAACTGAACCAAGCTTTGGAACAAACGGACTTAATAGACCTCTACAGAGTATTCTATACAATATCAGAATATACATTCTTTTTGGCTGCACACAGGTCATTCTCCAAAACAGACCACATCCTAGCTCAAAGAATATGCGTAAGTAAAAGCAGAAGATTTAAAGTTATTCCATGTATATTATTAGACCATAGTTCCAATAAACTGGAGATCAACAGCAAAAGAAACTGCAATAACTTCACAAACACATGGAAATTGAATAACGCTCTCCTGAACAACCAATGGTTCACAGAGGAAATCAAAGAAGAAATTAGACAGTTTTTACATATTAATGATAATGTCAGTATAACATACAGGAATCTATGGGTCACACAGAAAGCATTTCTATGAGGGAAATTATAGCAGTGAATGCCCACACTAGAAAATTAGAGCGATCTCAAATAACCTAATGTTGAGTCTTAAGCTTCTAGAAAAAGAAGAGCAAGACAAACCCAAAGCTGGTACAAGGGAAGAAATTATAAAGATCAGAATAGAAATAATGCAACAGAGACTAAGAGAATGATACAAAAAAAATTAACAAATCAAAGAGTTGGTTTTTGGAAAGAATAAAATTGATAAACCCTTAGCCAACCTTATCAAAAAAAGCAAAGAAAAGGCTCAAATCCATGCAATTAGGAACAAAAAAAGGTGAAGTCACAACACATCCAGGAGAAATCCAGAGATTATCAGTACCTATTTCAAGAACCTATACTCTTAATAAAATGGAAAATACAGAAGACAGATTTCTAGATACATATGAATTATCAAAGTTGAACAAAGAAGATGTAGAAGTCTAAACACACCAATTGCAATCAGTGAAATTGAAAACATAATTAAAAATTTACCAACAAAGAAAAGCCCAGGTCCTGATGATTTCACTGCTGAATTCTAAAAAAACATTTGGAGTGGAACTAATGCCATTAATTTTGAAACTTTTCAACTGAATTGAAAAGGAAGTAATAATTCCAAATTCATTCCTGGAAGCAAGTGTTACTTTAATTCCACGACCAGGGAAAGACTCAACCAAAAAAGAGAACTACAGGTCAATTTCCCTAAGGAACATAGAGGCTAAAATCCTCAATAAGATACTGGCAAACAGAATACAGAAGATCATCAAGAAGATCATATACCCTAACCAAGCTGGATTTATACCAGGGATTCAAGGATGGCTCAACACATGTAAAACAATAAATGTAATTCATTATATTAACAGAGTCAATGACAAAAACAATGCAATCATCTCAAAAGATGCAGAAAAATCATTTGATAAAATTCAACACCCACTCATGATAAAAACCTGCAGAAAACTGGAATAGATGGTCTTTACCTCAACTTGATAAAGGCTATCTATGAAAAACCAACAGCCAATATCATTTCAAATGGTCAAAAACTGAAAACCTTCACCCTAAAATCAGGACCAAAACAAGGATGTCCACCATCACCACTCCTTTTCAATATAATTCTGGAAACATTAGACACAGCACTTGGACAAGAGAAAGAAATTAAAGCAACAAAGACAGGAAAGGAATAATTTAAACTGTCATTATTTGCTGATGATATGATACTCCATATAGGAGACCCAAAAAACTCCACCAAAAGACTTCTAGATTACTTGACAGATTCAGTAGAGTAGCTTGACAAGGTAAACACTCAAAAATCAATAGACTTCTTATATATAAATAACAGACTCACTGAGGGAGAAATTGGAAAGAAAGCCCCTTTCATAATAGCATCCAAAAAATCTAGTAATCAATCTAATGAAGGAAGCAAAAGACCTCTACAGTGCGATCTACAGCACTCTGAAAACAGAAAACAGGATATAAGAACATGGAAAGACATCCCTTGTCCCTTGGTAGGAAGAACGAATATAGTGAAAATGGCCATACTACCAAAACTGCTCTACAGATTCAAGGCAATCCCTATTGAAATTGCAACAGTATATTTCACAGAACTAGAAAAAATAATAGAAAAATTCATTTGGAACCTAGAATACCAAAAGCCATTCTAGATAACAGAGACATGCAAGGGGCTATCACAATCTCCAACTCAAATCTGTACTATAAAACCAATGGGATAAAAGCAGCACGGTACTGGCAAATAAAAAGACCCAAGGATCATTGGAATGATTAGAAGATGCAGAAACTTCTCCAAACATACTCAACTACCTCGTCTTTGACAAAGGAGCCAATCATCCTCACACCACAGCTCCACTGCAGACACATCAGCTGAGAACACGGCCTCAAGATAAAGACAAGATGACCAGACCTACATACTTCTTCAAAGAACAAACACTGGGCCTAATGAATCCCAGACAGGCATCAGCCCTCCCATGGGTGACCAGAGACCTCTGGGCGCACACTGCTTTGTTCTCTCCATCCATGCTGTTTACATGACTTGTTTCCCAAGTGAACCATCGTCACCTAAGTGACTACGCTTGCAACCTTTTTGGATGTTTATAGCTACGGCACACATTGCACCCACTCTTAGAGTGGGGTTCACAGGGTACCACTCAGGTCCCCCTCCTGCCCCTCAGGAGCTTTCCTATCAGTAAATGGCTTCCTACTGTTAATGTCCATTGTTCCTAGGACTCATTCTTCGATTTCTAGAAAACAAGAACTTGGCGTAGCATATAGTTAACAGGTTGGGAGATATAACACTTCATATTTCACTTCTGACATTATTTCCTGTAACAAAAATAGAGAGATAAGGACTCTTATCCCCAGGAAGAAGACCCTTATCCAGGGTATGTTAAGTTTATTAACAGCTCTTATAGCTCCTCCCTACCTCTAAGCCTGGACTTCAACAGGACTAAAAAAACTAGAAAGCCAAGATAATCAGTTTCCTTTTGAACACTTTCGAACTCATTGCCTTTGAACTGAGCCCCCACAATCTACCTGTCTCTATAAGGCCAAGACAAAGATAGTGCAGAGTAGTCCCCACCCACCCTACCTCACCCGCCTTGTTTCATTTTGGGAGACAAAGAAATCAGAAATATACAAAATTAACTGTTTTAATTATAAGACAGCAAGAAACCTTTGAGGTCAGGCACATTCATTCTTCTCGAGGATCTTCTCACCAAGACACACATGAGCCTCTTCATGACCTCTTTATCTAAATCTAAATAAATACCTTAAAATATCCCCCCTGTGAATACTGAGATTCTTCTCTGTTAAGAAAGTATTTATTAAATATAATTTCTTTAAATTAATAAAACATAGAACTTAATTCTTACCTGAATACCTGAAGATTGAGAATTCATAATACCTTGACTGTAGGAATAAACCATAAAATCCTTTGCTAGGAAATATCTACATGTAAATAAGAGTGACAGAATTTTAAAAGTTTTTCTTTTCAAACATAAAAAGCAGTAGTCAGCAAAATGACATCCTCAGGCCAGATCATACACTTTCTTTGTTTAAACAAATAAAGATTCACTGGAACACAGCAATACCTATTAGCGTATTTATGCTAAAAGAGCAGGAGAAAGTAGTTTGGCACAGATAATACAGCTCTCAATGACTAAAAAACTTTACTCTCTGGACTTCTAGAGAAAAAGTATGTCAATCTTTGATAGTGTTTTCTTCTCATGTATACATATATTTTATTCAATGTAATACACAGTTACTCAAAATGTTTCCAGACTTAATGAACCTTAAAGCAAAAAGAAAGGACAACAAGGAGAGATAAAATGTATTTTAAAATATAAAGACATGAACTGGATGTGAAATTATGAGTCTTCTGTTTTTTCACTGGAGGTTTCATTACCATGGATATATTATATATTACTTTCATAAGGAGGTGGAAGAGTCTTATGTAAAAGTCTTTATTTTTAGTACAAGTGCTAAAACCTCAAGTCTATGTTCCGCCTTTTGTGGTTATGATTGCCTATACTTACTATGCAATTTTAGTTATGTTTGCTCACCTCATGCTGACTCTAACCCAATATAACTTAAGTAGACTATCCAGGTTAGCTTCTTTTGGAAAAACTCAACTAAATTTTGTTTCACAAAAGTTACTAATGACTCCTTACTTGTAAATTCCCAAAGGCAGTCTGCAGTCAAGTAATATTATCATAGATGAGCTAGGTAGAAATATTACAGGTAGTGAGGTAGGGCTGTGTCCTTAACAGGGTCAGGACAAAGGTGAAACACACCACAGCTCCACTGCAGACACATCAGCTGAGAACATGGCCTCAAGATAAAGACAAGATGACCAGACCTACATACTTCTTCAAAGAACAAACACTGGGCCTAATGAATCCCAGACAACATCAACCCTCCTGTGGGTGACCGGAGAATTCTGGACCCACACTTCTCAGGAGAATCTTTGTCTTTCCATCCATGCTGTTTACACGACTTGTTTCCCAAATGGATCATCACTACCTAAGTAAGAGACTACACTTGAAACCTTATTGGATGTTCATGGGTGTGGCCCACATTGTACCCACTTTTGAGTTTCACTCTATAAAATTCTTCTCCCTGGGCTACCCATTCAGGTCCTCCTCCTGGCCCTGGGGAACTTTCCTATCAATAAACTTCTCCTTACTCTCAACCTCTGCTGTTTTAGGACTCATTCTTCAATTTCTAGAAAGCAAGAACTTAGCATATCATACAGTTAACAGGTTGGGAGATATATTATTTCATATTTCATCTCTGGTATTATTTCCTGTATCAGTATTACCCTGAAGCACTTCACACTTGGCTATATCTCCCCTTTAGCCAACTGGCTCTGGTCTTAATGATAGTATTCCCTCTCGGTACTCCTCATATCTTCCTGTCTACTTATATAAATCCCTTCATCTAGCCTTCCTTCATCCCTTAAATGCTCCATAGTATTCAGTTCTACTTATCTTTAAAATATACCACTACATTTATATCTCTTTATTTCTGTGAGCACATTACCTTTATAGCTTGTATTACTGTAACTGTGGTGTGTTTTTACGTCTGCTAGTGTGATGTCTGCAACTTTGCTTAAGACTTTTACAACTTGTAGTTTACTGTAATTCCATATACATGTTTTGAGGGTTTTTTAATGTATTGTGTCATGTCATCTACAAACAGGGACAATTTAGCTTCTCCTTTATAATCTGAGTGCCCTCTGTTTTGCCTAACTGTTCCATTTGGAATGTCCAGTACTATCTTGAACAGGCATGGTTATGTAAGAGACAGCTGAGTTAGGTAAAACTAGTACAAGCACTCAAATTGGGCTGGCCCTTGCGTCAGCCCACAAGATAAAAACACATTACAATTTTGGCTGGAGATGCATCAGTTGGAGGCTAGGCCCCAATATAAAGACAAAATGACTAAGCCTACATACTTCCTCAAGGGATGAGAAAAATGGTAACACCTGGTATAATGTAGTCTAGCTAGAGCAGTTGCCTTGCTAGGTGATCAAGACCCTCAGAACCATCCCCTTCCTGAAAAGTTCTTTATTCTTTCCTTGCACACTTGCTGTATGACTTATTTCCCCCATTAGATCACTATTACCTGAGTGACTCTGCTCTTAACTTTGTTGGTTGATCACAGCTTTACCCACATTACACTCATGTGGTTGTGTTCTACAAAACTTCCCCTGTAAAGTGGGGTCCCCGGCAACCCATTTGGGACCCCTCTTACCTCTCAGCAGCTATATCTCTCAACAAATATTTCCTACTCTTCTGTTGCTCCTTAGAATTCATTCTTCGATTCTGGGAACACAAACTCAGTGTGTCTGACATCTAGCAGGTTGGGAGTTATCATATTTCCCCTATATCATTTGGTTGTCTGATATCATTCCTATATCAGATTGGCTATTCCTAATGTTAGGTCCTCTTGGAAAAAAGCCTTCAAGTGCTGGCCTTTGAATATGATATTATGTACAAACTTGTCATATGATATTTATTGTATTAAGGTACATTCCTTCTGTACCTAATGAGAATTTTATTGTGAAGGATGTTGAAAGTCATACCTGCCTCCCATGTTCATAACCAGATTAATCTCAACTAACCCTTTCAGCTGGAATGTCCCACAAACAGTTTATACACAGCTTCTCCAATTCAGATCCACATTTCCCCTGAGTTGGATCTCTTCCTTTTTGCCCTCTACTCTGACTGCAGAGGTCCATCCAGTCCTGTTAACTACCATGACATCAGTCTTCAAGAGGTGGGTCCCCACTTTTTCATTTCTGAATCCCCATTCATAAAAGGTTACATGAGATTTTAAAGGCCAAAAATTTAGGTCACAAGAGAGCATCAGTTCATTCAAAACAGATAAAAATATTAATAACAATTATATTATTTTCCATACATCATTTTATTGCAAGGAAAAAATTTCACAGACATAAAATGAAATCCTAAACTAAAAAATAAAAATTTACCTTGGCTGTAGGTGCACTATATACGGTTTCTCATCTATTGCAATAATGTAGGATATCTCGTCCTAGAGAATCAAGAACAGCTAAGGTTGAAAACAAATTTAATATAAGAAGCAAACAATTTTGTATCAATTATTTCCTCCTAACGGTGCTTAAAATATGTAACACTACATATGATTTTAAATATTCAATATCAGTTTTAACATGTTATTTAATACATTTTCACTATTTCCACCAACAATAACCAAATCTAAAGATTTATATAAGAAGAGCAATCTACATATAACTAAATTATAAATTCCTATGAAAGGAGAGCTCATATTCTATGCTGTAATGTTTATTCATATGACATCAATGAGATAATAAGGCACTCTTTATCAGTGAAGCTTCCTGTACCAAGCACAAAAATTGTTTAATTTTTTAAAAAATCCTCCATATTATTATATCCTATTTTCTACCTTTTTAAATGGAAGATCCTTGATCAAAATTTGGTACAGCTTTTGACTATACTATTACTATTTTTAAGTTAGAACACTGGTAGCTGTAGGTTAGACTATCTACAGATCAGTGAACCTGAGTGACAAGATTTTACCCAGCAAATAAAGAACATGTGGTAAGCAACAGTATTATCAGTAGGGGGGGGAAAGCGTGTAAAAATGAAAAGGACACAAATACTAGGGAAACATAAAAGATAAATGGGCGAGGATCTATGAAAATAAAAAGCAGCCAGAATACTGCACAAACAAAAGAAGGATAAGGCAAGTTGTGCAAAGGTCAGCAGATGGTAAAAAATGAAATCAGAAGGTTAATGTTATTAATAATAAATTGATATCATATGTCCAATATGATGCAATGTTAAGAGCATTTCACCTCTATGATGTTCCTTAAATCTCAGAACCTTGAATTTAACGATGAAAGACTACCAGACAAATTTAAACTGAGGGCATTCCATGCCATACCTGCCTGGCACCTGCACAACAGTCAAGATCGTGGAAAACAAGGAAAGACGGCGAGGTAACAGAGGAGACAGGGAGCGCATGCGATGGGACGTCGTGTTTTAGATTCTGGACTGAAAACGGGCATCACTGGGAAAACCACCGACATCCAGAGAAAGTCGTATTTCACGTACTATCTATTCAAAATGTGTACCAATGTCAATTTCTTGGTTTTAACAAACATAACGCATCAACATAACTACATACATTTTAATATTAGAGGAAACTGAGTGAACAGCACATGAGAATTGTCTGTAATTGCTACACCTTTTCTTAAATCTCAATTTCTTTCAAAATTTTAAATATTTACTTTTAAAAACAGAAATACTGAGGAAAATGCAAAATAAGCATGACAGATATAAAGGCAGAAATACTGCAAAGAAGATTCTTGTACTGAAGTAGAAGGCACCCTTAAACTAATTCTGTAAGCTTCAGTGATAAGAAAATAGTTCCTTGGAGAGGTTGGTCTAAGTGTAATAAATATGCATGCTAAAGCATCTTTATCTAGTTTTACAGTGGATTTGACGTACAAGTGGTTATTCAAAGTAGTTCTTGAATTAATGTTCACAAAACAAAGACATAGTAATTATTAAGACGTTAAAGATTAAAATATAAATTTAACATTATTATTCAGTTATAAGACTTTCTCTATTTTCTTTAAGGGATTCACCAAATTTCTCCAAATTGTCTGCAAATAAATCCATTTTAAGGGAGGGCAGGGACAAGGGGAAAAAATGAGAACCAAGACCACCTGTCATGTAAAGGTACAAGATCCCAATGATGAATGTAACTGTACTGTGCACCTAAAATGTACCAATAAACTCAATAAAAGAAAAAAATCCATTTTATGCTAACTTCCATCATGCAAGTACAGCTAAGGGAAATATTATGTGCTATACTAACATCTCAATAATTACTAAGATTTTCCTTTATCTTAATAGATACAGAAAAGGCACTGGATGAAATGCAAATCCCATTATGATTAAAAATTCTAAACAACATATGTAAGGAAGGAATGTCCTTCAGGTCATATACAAAAAGCTCATAGCTCACTAATTTAAATCAAGGAAGGATGAAAATTTTTTTGTCTAACTTCTGTTACAAAGAAACTCCACTTCTATCACGTTTATTTAACACAATAGTCAAAGTACTAGCAGGACCTATCAGGCAAGTGAAAGAAATAAAGATCACCCAAAATAGAAAGGAGGGTGTCGAATCATCAGCATTTGCAGATGATAATGATCTTATAAATAGAAAATTTCAAGACTCCACAAAAAGCTATTAAAACCAATTCATTAATTCAATAAATGTGCAATCATGAAAATCAGTAGCAATGTTATATACCAACTGCTCATTACCTGAAAAAGAAACTGAAAGACTAATGGCATTCCCGATATCTACAAAAAATACCTAGGAATAAATCTGACCAAAATTTGAAAACTGTCTAGAACGAATATTATGAAACATTACTGAAGCGAATCAAAGAGAAAAAAAGGAAAAGGAAAAGCATCCTAAGTTCATGAATTGGAATATTTGCTATTATTAAATGTTCACAATACCTAAAGTGGTTTACAGACTCAAAGTAATCATTATGAAAACTTCATGGCATTCTTCAGAGATACAGAAAAAATTCATTTTAAAATAGTGGAAGAGTGAAATAATTAAAATGCAAAATTGAACAAAGCAGTTCAATAGTAGATTGAATCTTGTAAAAAGAATAAATAAATTTGATGATATGGCAATAAAAATTACCTATTCTAGAGATCAGTGAGAAAAAATATTGAAGAACAATGAATAAAACTGGAAAAGCCTGTAAGACAATCGTAAGAGTACTGACATGTGAGTAAGGACGGATCTAGAAATGCCAGAGTAACAGATGAGGTCAGGAAAAATATTTGAAAATATTAAGGCAAAACCACTCAAAATTTAAAGAAAAACATTAATCTACACATCTCAAATTTCAATAAACTGCAAGGAGTAAATAGACAAGAAGGTAAAAATTGAGATACTCTCTGACCAATCTGATAAGATCTAAACATGATGAGAAAAATACCAAGACAAAAATGACTCATCAATGTGGTTGATTACAGATGTTTTCTGAAGTAATTAATGGAAAACCAAAGGTAGTGAAGCAAAGTATAAAATGTGCTGAAAGAAAAAAAATCTTGCCAGCCAACTCTATATTCATAAGCCAGGCATGGCGGCGCATGCCTGTAATTCCGGTGCTTGGGACGCTGAGGCAGGAGGATCACTGCAAGTTCGAGACCAGCCTGGGCTACACAGTGAGTTCCAGGTCAGTCTCAACTACATAGTGAGACCCTGTCTCAAAAAAAAAAAAAAAAAAAAAAA